AAATCCAGTTTGATAATTCTTTTATGAGATTATAACTAAAACAATCACATCTCACCCAATTTACTCGAGAAATAGGAGAAGAATATCTCAATAATTTAATAAGCCCCTGTTTGATCTGCAGTAATGATATCAAATCGGTACGAACTCTGAATATAAGATATGACCTCAAAATTACAGGACCAAAGTCGACTAGTGAGGCAACAAGTACAATGTGAAAAATGGAAGCAAGAAGATAGAGCAACAGCAGACATTATCATCCACAGCTCTCTATCTATCAATCTATCTACTTTTAGACCTTGTTACTTAAAGGGGGATATTGCGATGGTGGTATTTCAGTTAGTCACATCTTCAATTACAGATAAACCTACTTTCCAATGCATTATTGTATTTCAGGCTCCCACCATATTTGGATTTTCCCTTTTTAATCTTTTTCATTTCAATCAGGTATGAAATTCTAGTAGTTTAAACAGTTTGTCTCATCAAAACCACTTGATTTTCTGTCACTGAACAGTAACAATTTTTACTTGTGCTTTTGTACCCCTTGACTAAAACTTGCAGCAGGGACAAAATATATTCTGACCATTTGATTTGATCTTATATTAGCTGGTGATCATCAGTGTTAATGATTTTAAGGTCCACATTGGTCAGATTATACTACTAAGAGATCTTATCTTTGATTCTTGATAAGGTCTATCAACCTCAAGACCCTTTCTCTGCCACTCTTTTGCATGGCAGTGGGACACAATTTTATACATTAAGTGGAACTATGGTTGTGAGAAACATGTTAACTCATTGTTTCATGACATTTAGTTTTTGCCCAAAAGATGTACCAATTGAATAAAGCAAGGGTGAAAGTGTTCTTGGGTGTAAAATCTGTCCTCCCCTGGCTCTGTCTCTGATGGAGTGTACCTCATGTTACACATAATTTGCTAGCGAGGATGCTCTAGATACTATTTTGAGAGTTCTTCGAAACCTGAGCTGGACATCCTGGAATCAATATCCACGACTTGGTGAATGCCATTAGTGTTTGATAGGAGTCAAAGATTGTTACAATCATAGATAGATGGCCCTGGAAGACAGATTTCAGAACTCATCTTGAGGTTCTTGTTAAAGGCAACTAAAGAGGACAATTTTGGGGTCCCTGCAAAAGTTCATGGCCTACATATGTCTATCCTTATACAAAGATTACAACTAATGTCCAGGAAAGGATAATGAGGTGGGGTTTCAATTTCATACTTAAAAATTAATTACACACGGTTGCAAATCATCAGTGGCCGGCAGCTTGAACCGATACTGATTGATAGACGTTCAATGGGGTTCTGGATAAAATAATGGCACGTGATAACAACATACTGAGAGGGTACAAACTGTCCCTACCGCGAAACCAACAAAGTCTGCAAGTGGATCCAGTATTCGTGTTTAAAATTGTTATAAAAAGTCCATTGAGAAGTCAATAAATTGTGGTTCTGATTAGCAGAAATTAGAATTAATCAGAAGAAATGAGGAAGAGATTTGGTAAGTGGAAAAGAATAGTGAGACAGCAGAGGGGAAAGCTCTACATTATAAGAGTTTGCATTACTATGCTTCTCTGTTGGGACAAGTATTCCTAGTAATGTAAAAGTTTGATGTCTTTTAAGGTTATATTTTTTGTACATTAAATTTATTTCTTAAATTTGCAGGGTTTGTTTAGCTTTTTCATGATTGTTTTCTTAGTCTCTGTACTTTTGGGGATACATGTGTTCAAGCAAATTAAAATCCCAAAAGGGAACCATATTTATTCTGGATCCGCTCTCCCATTTTCCATTCCAACCATGCTTGGTGTACACTTTGACCAAAGTGTACTCCAAGTTTGACAGTTTGCCACATGGCAAACTGTCATTCGCCATTTTTTTTTAAATAGTTTTTTCACAATTTTTTTAAAACAAAGGCAATGTCAACAATGATGAAAAGGGAAGAATTTACAAATGGCAAAATCATTTCTAGCCCCACCCCTCGTGCACTTACAATACTAGCTTGTTTGGTAAGTGGAATGCTATCCACCACATGATAGTTTTTCTAAAACTCCCTGGCTGTCATATACTTGCATTTGTGGATGATTTTAGGTAGAGTGAGGCAGCAAGAAATTAATGCTTGCATATACAAGGATTGCTATACATATACAAACCACCTGTTGCTCTATATAGGTGGTGCTTATGACTAAATATAAAGGACGGCTTAAGTGATTAGACATAATTTTTAACACTCAAAATAGGGTTCCTTTCATAAGAGAGACCCGATAGGTAGAAGTTAAAAAGAAGCGGAATAAACAGAGCTAACATGGCATGTTGTGGCTGCTAACAATCTAATTACTTAGACTTATTAGTGAATCTAACAACGAACTGAACAAAATGGTCAAAAAGGATTAATGTAGCCGGTCGTAAATTTATTATGAACACAACTTAGTTGGCCGTTATCATAATATTCAAACAGTAATATTCAACAAAGTCTTGCACTCTATAACCCTCTTCTCGAACCGGGAATCAGTAATGAAAAACACAAATGGAGTTTCGAATCCCTCACTCCATGTTTGGTTTACCATACCTGATAGAGAAACACATGGTATAATAAACAAGAATTTTAGCTTATTTTCTTTCGTTAGCAGTGTCCATCAGTATCCAATCCTCTCTATCCGACCTGCAATCCGCACGTATCAAATAAATCTATGGCATTGAAATGGAAAAATATGCTTAAAAAATCTTGGGAAGGAAAATGACAGACACCAGGAAAACTATCAGAAACATTTAGTGCAGATGTAAACCCAAACAACATTAATTTAACAAAATTTTGCTCATAGGAACCGAAGATAATACACTATGAGATAACTTCACCCTGAATATCAGGAATTTGTATTCCATGTTCCAAAGGCTAGGACAAAACCACTGTGCGTGACAGCAACGGCCTTGTATGGGAATAAGGTTAAACAAATGGCTCAATCCGTGTCCATGGAGTTTGGGAGGGAGACAAACTGATGACTCTGCAACTTCATCTTTTCCAAACAATAGGCCCCACAAAAGTTGGCATCAGAAAACACCCCCTAACCCCACCCCACAATCCGGGTCCAACGAGTATCGACCACCAAAAAATTGTACCTGTGTTTTATCCTTACACAAAATCAGTCCTGTATATATATGTGTGTGTATCTATGTCCACGACAGCTTATTCTTTTTTCCTGCAGCATTATGACATTTCCCGGGTTTGCTAAACTAGGCAAATTTGTGCTTTCACTCTTCTCCTATTTTTCTTTTTCTCATGTGGTGGTGATTTTTCCCAATAATTTTTATCATATGCAGCTACCAAAGTTAGATCTATAGCTTCTGTATTTTCTAACAGCAGAGTCACATTGATCAAACCAGATATCGCCCTTTTTTTTTTACGGTTCGTGCTTTAGTGCATGATCATGGGGTGGCAGTCATTTGTGGTCCGAATACAAAAGCTCCGGTCATGGAAGAAGTGTTCGAGGTACATTCAAGAGCAAAGGACGCGTCTTTACATCATTTGGAGGTGTTTGGTGTTTCTCTTAAGATCGAAATTGGAACGCGCAAGTTTTGATGATTGAGGTGGAAACAAAACTTCAAAATCTAGATGATCATGTTGTCAATAAAAATTAGCCAAATAAGCTGTTCGTGTCTTTCCGCGGTGGACATTCTCTTCAATTTGTTATCCATGGTCTGATTTGGCTCGTTTCTGTTTACAAGAGGGTCTCAAGATTTCGAGGCCAACAGATAGATCATGAGAAGTATAGAGCAATTTTAGAAGGCATTTTGAAATTACAAGCCAAATGGCTCGTCTGCTATGCAAACTTCACAACAGATGAGGGAAGACGAGCAGAATTCTCTCTGCGAATCCAATGCCAACAGGTTTGAAATACAAATTTTCAGGGCAAGTTGGAGATGAGAAAATCAATTAGATTAACATAGAATGTGTAAAATTTATGTAAATTAAGTTGATAAAATATTATAGCACTAATTATCTACCGGTTTTCTGCTCCATACACATGCACAATTCACATTTATGCTTTGATCAAACCTTGTGCAGGTTTGCAGCACTGGTGAACTTTCCCTTCTGTGGACTATTGACTTTTTCGAATTAAACGATATTTTTTATCCTCTTTTATTGTTGTTTGGTTTCGAGAGTACTCTCAAAAATCGATCTAGAGAAATCGAGGGACCTATAGCTGAGATGATTAGAGTACATAGTTAAATCTACTGAGAGGTTCACAGTCAATTGGTGTTGTGCCATAGAAGAGATGAAGAAGATTCATGTTGTTAGTATTCTGGCCGGAAAACTCAGTAATGGTAATTAGTATATCAAAATGCAAGATTTTTCCTAAAGTAAAAATTGTTTTTTTCTTGTGGTTAGTGCCTATAAATGTTATAAAAGTGCAGAAACTGTTAGTCGTACATTTTAAACATTCAGGATTATGCAAGTCGTCTCAAATAACACAAGGACAAAACATTCCAAATTTTATAGATAGATCTCTCTCCATAGAGATTGACATGTAGGTGGATAGAGACAAAGATAGAATGAAAAAGGGTTTCATGTACCCTTGTAAGTTGAACAGTTTTTACAAGAAAAAAATAAAAAAACTAAAATCTTGCTCATACTCGTGTCAAGTATTGCGCACAAGAAATGCACGTTCCTCTACTATTTTGATTATTTCAAAATATATCTTGGCATAAGCTACTCTTTCCATTATTGCTTCTCTACCAGTAGCAAATGATTCTTGAAAGGATATATAAGCAACTAATATAAGTGCATATTTCTAGAACCCAGCAAATTAGAGTAACGTTTATAACCTGGAATTTCATTTATTTATATTGCAAAATTTTTAGGTCAACACAAAAAACATGTACTCTCAAAGTTATACTATTGCAACAACTTCTAGTCTTTCTTTCTTCACCACGATTACAATAATCTCCCTCAAGAGCAGGGTGATCAGCACAAACAGTTGAAGCCCACATTTATCTTTTGTTACCAGGAAGTGGTTCACCAAGATTCCTTTGCAATCTTGCAGAGGTCGAGTCATCCTCACCTGACTTCTTGGGGGTCTGCCCTTGCTTAATTTGGCCTCCCTGAGGAAATTCAAGAAGATACAGAACAGCTTTAAAATTTAAGTGAAAAGAAATGTAAATTCTTAAGTCATATTTGTACTTTGGTTCAAAATTTACTCGTTCCCATGATTCAAGTGCAGGAGATTTGGTAAAGGCAAAGCTTACACAACCATCAGCTATCATGTTAGATTAAAGGGGAAAACAGAATGAGAAATTTCTCGCATTAGTTCAATACTTGAGATAAATGGGGAAAACAGAACGAGAAATTTCGCGAATTAGTTCAATACTTGAGTTTTAATTCTCAACAATTCCATTTGAATACATTCACTTAGTAGGTACACCTAATGAAAAGAATGAAGTATGCATCTTTCACGGTGTAGATCAGTACACCTATTGGCTCTTATATATAACGGAGATGATTCTTATGGTTTCTCATGAACTATTTATTGAATTTAAAAAAGTGCAATCAAACTTGTAAGCATCATTAGGAAGTACTTGCACACAAGATGAAGCTTCTGTCTCTCCCTAGACCCAATAGTTGTCGATATGAAGATCCAGACATCTTCAACAAATATTCACACACATTTTTCTATCATACAAATAAAATTCCGTATGAATGAGCTACAGAGATAGTTTACTAACAGCTTTATGGCCAGTTAACCTCCGACTTGATGGGGCACGTGCAATTGATGAAGCAGCTGCAGCTGCTGCCACACGTATCCTGTGGCAAGGAAAAATGTCAGATTGTTTTTCATTAGAATTATCAAACAATGTAACTAAAGCCTTCATACCTTTTGTGTACATCGACAAATTCGTCTGTCTCATCAACAATTTCTTCCTATATCAACAGAGAATCACAACGATAAATTGATTGCATAAGAATGCAAAATACTGTATAGAGGTGAACAGTTAATATACCTGCAAAAGTTCTTCAAATACGTCTTCCAAGGTAATAATGCCAATAACTTCACCATCTTCAGTGTCATCTGATGAAAGGGCCAATCCCTTAGTAACTGCATCATTATATGTTAAGTTGTTTTTAGAGGCTGGCCTGGGAAACCTTTCGATGTCAACAATAATGCTTTCCACCTTCTCTTCTTGCTTCGATAGCAATGGAGTAGTTAGGGCTGAATTCCCATTTGTCATTTCATTCTCTTCAGACTTCTCTTCAATCGGTGGAGGTATTTTGTTTTTCCCTTTTGGCCTCACTACAGCTGCCATATGACTGCTACCTTTCTGAAACTCGTTGAGTATGTCATACAGCGGCATATCTGCAGGAACACTGAGAAGAACCTCTTTAATTGAATACTTTTAACCTTTCACAGTTAAAAAATTCATTTATGAGCATGTAAGGATTCACTGTCATACCGTGGAATTCTCCGTATAGAAACAGCACTCACTGGGGTCTCTGTTTCTGCTCTCACAGTAAGAAGACTCTTTACCTGATAGTTCGAGTTTCTGAGAGTTGCATGTTTACGTATAGAATAGCAGATAGTTCACAGTTTCAGATATTTTACCAGTAAAAGCCCAATAATATTCTTAGGGTTGCCAGAATAGACAGGAACTCGACTATGACCCCTAGCCAGAATCTTTCCCATTGCCTCCCTTAGATAAGGGGAAAATTATAGTTTACTAGCATGTTTGGTAGGGAGGATGAAGAGGATTAGGAAGTATTAATGAAGAAGAAGATAGTAAAATCTTGTTCATTATATTCAGTATATTGCATGCCAAATATGTACTACAATTCTGTCTTCTACTAAGAAATTATGAAGTAAAGTAGCACAAAAATCCTAGATACCAGTGACGAAAGCCAAAATCTTTCAACAAGTGTTCTTATTTATTGTATAGGCATCAACTTCACATAATTATTTTTCAAAATCTTCAAACGAGAACAAGGAACAACTAGACGATATTTCATTTGATGTATGCCTGTCATTCAAATGACGGAGTTAAATGAACTAATACAGAATAAAATCAAGTCACTTAAACTGAAATTGGTAGCATGTACAATTTATCATTATAAGAAGATTTATTATCATTGAGGTATTCTGTAAGTTGCCTAACTTTACAACCCAGAAGTGCCTAGCCATCAATCACAAGGTCAGATTAATGTTAGCATTGTCTTTGGATAGACACATTTGGGGCTCTCAAATTTACGATTTATCCTAGCCTATGATGCATGGATCCTCCAACTAGTGTGGCATGTCCATGTTCGACATGCGTCGTGTCGGTCACTGACACTCCTTGGACCCTCTGACATTTACTAAATTTTTTTTTCTTTCCCTGGCACTTCCTAGCATCCATAACATATTTCATTTCACAATCAAAACTGGAAGACTAGACCACAAGACAAGATAATGACATTGTTATAAGAGCAGTGCAGTAAAGAAAAAATCAGTGAGCAATTCTTACCAGTCCAACTTTGAATTGACATCCAAGGAAAAAGTTGATTCAATTGGGGTCATGGCCTCCTCAGCGGTCTGTTAGCATTTGTGGTTAAAAAGGTGAGAGAAGNTGAGGACAATGTTTGATTTAAGTTTTTTTTTTGGGGGGGGGGGGGGGGGGGGTATTTTAAAAATATTACAACAATTTTGTTCTATTGAATTGACTATGGTCTGGCACAGTCTTGATAGGAGGCAAGACCTGGCAGGAGGTAGAGAACTAGAAAACGACTTGCTAGATGCAATTTAATATGGATTGAATCATGAAGCGACTAGGGTGGCTGATCAGAGAAGTAAACAGAAGATCTATGTTGGAATTTCAATCCTTGAGGTTAACAATAGTCCCAAGCTTTTGGGGTTAAAATTTTTTGCATTATTCTATTCAATGTCTCTTCCACTTTTACACCAAAAGGAACTAATAATTAAATAATAAATTTTCAATTATCTTTGAATATGAATCTGTATATCAAACATAAATTACTTCCAAAATTACAAAAGCCATAGTCTTCAACAAGCTAATTTCTTAACTGGACATACCTTCTCAGTCAAATCTAGTGCTCCACTAATAATTGTTGTCTCATCATGCGTGAGCTCGCCTCCTTTACCAGCCTAAAGAAAAGTCTGAAAGCTAAGTGCAGTGCAAGGAAAACTCCATGTGATAATGAAACTTGGCAGTTTTTATCACTTAAAGAAATCAAGTTTTAAATACAATCATCCAATACCATTCAATTGAAAGAAGAAAAGAATCCTAGAAACTGTTGTTACCTCCTGGCCATGGATAGAGACAAGAGCCTTCAGCTGGGCTCGTCTAAACAGAGCCTCATTGTGTCCCAGTACCCAGTCTAGAATCTGAAATCATAAAAATAACTCAAAACATTTTTAATAAGGAGATCCAATGAAAGAGAAATTATTTTCTTATGTTCAGGTTATGGCTTATTAGCACAAATCGTCCCTACGTTTTAAATTTTTGCATTTTCACCCATATTTCTATGTTTTATTGTGGAAAACATCATTTTCATCATTTTTTATCCAATTTCTTAATTAAAAATTGTAAAATGACAAATATATCCTCCTATTTAAATAAATAAAAAAAGAAAAACTAAGAACAAATTGCAATCATATTCTCAATTTTAAAAAAAAGTACAAATAAATCTCAAATAAATTAAAAATAAATAAAAATAATTTCTTAATGGCTTCGATAGTGCACAGTAGCTCAATCAGAAATTGCATTTAAAAGCAGAAGTAATTTGCTATAAAAGTATTTCTATTCTCCCAAAAGCACATGTGAGTCATAGCTACTTGATCTTGACTACAACGAGAAAAATTCACAAGGTTCTTATCCTTCTTCCTGATTAACTAAAGTAACATTTTATCAAATTCCAAACCAGCAATGATTGTGAATCCAAAGATGGGTTATTAACAAAGAACTTCAATATAAATTGAATGTAGCTGAGATAAGAATATCAATGTGGACAAGTAGCAAAACAAGAAGAGAAGATACAAATTGCTTGTGCTCATTAGTTGTTTAAGGTAGCGCTTATTGATGAAAAATTGCATGATAGTTGCTTGAGACGCTATAGGCATATTCAACGAAAGTTGATAGACTCACCGCTTAGGAACCTGATAACAACTGATGTTAATGGTTAGTTTACAGGAAGAAGAGAATCTGAAATCATGTGGAAATAGTCAATTAGAGAAAGGATTTGAGCATTTTACCATATATCTTTGGAGATGATTCTAGACAGAGAAAATGAGAGAAAGGAATCTATGCAGGCAACCTATGGGATAAGGCTATATGGAGTTAAGGTGACGTTCTTATTGTTCTTACAAATGCACATGCCCTTAGTTTTTGGTTTCCAAGAGTCCTATCAATCAAATGACCACATCCAATTGCCAGTTTATTGTAAAATAAGATTTCTCATGGCCCTCCCAATAAATCATTTTCATGCTATACGAGCATAAACAATAACCATTTTTTATGGTGGTTGTATTATGATATTACATATTCCAATTTGAGAAAAATAAAAGGATTCAGCATTTGATCTTTTCGCTGAGATAAAGATGCAAATATCATTTTAACTTGTGTAAAATAGAAATTACCTTCCCAATAGGATAAGCAATTGGATAACAAATGATCATTAGAATGCGGACCAGCCAAACAAAATTTGCACCTACAGCAAGTCCATATCTAGTACATATTGCTTGAGGAATAACCTGATAACATAAAGTCATATGAGAATCCAATCACATAAATAAAAAATATATATATATATATTATACCTACACATAGTTTCATGATGTAATTTACCTCCCCAAATGCTAGAACAAAAGTCACAGATAGTATAATTGCAACATATTGATTGAAAAGCTTATCAAGGTATATTGGAAGAGCCTGCAGGACACAAGATTATACAAGAGAAGTATTTTAGAATAGTCATTCAGTAGGATATAAATGACATAAATCCTCGACTAAATAAATAAAAGACAAAATGCATATATTTCTTCTTCACTTCCTCAATAACATTTCACCCTCATTACATAATTTGTTCTTTTTTCTCCGGTACAAGAATTTCTAATCAATAAGTAAGATGCCTAAAGAATCTAGAACAAGAGAGTGCTGGGAAAAAAAAACACCGGGACCTTGGTAAATAGCATATGCATGATGGCAACACAAAAAATAGTAAACAAATTATATGTTATATACCCCCTCCGTCCCAATTATATATGCTTATTTCGTTTTTCACACGGATTAAAAAAACTTCTTTAATGTCATTGGAAAATTATTTTTTGCCAAAATCTTTCCTAATTTACCTCTATTTAATTTTCAGTATGTAAAACTAAATTATTATTGGAACTGGTAAAGAATTTGAAGAAGAAGAAGAAATGAGAGTTGTTCCATGTTTCCAAGAAGTGGGAAATGTGTGTATTTGGATGATTTCAAGAAGTTGACATATTAAGTGGAGAAAATTTAATAAGGGTATATTGGTAAAGGAACACAATAAAATATTCTACATTAGGAAATATGCTTATATATTTGGGACAAGAGAAAAAGGAAACTCAGCCTATATAATTGGGACGGAGGGAGTAGCTTGTATGTTTCCATTAACTCTAGGTTTTCTTCCCAATGCATTGACAGTTGAAAATCATCACAAACCACAAGAATGCTTAATTTTATATCTATTTGAATCATGGGATAAATCATCAATGACATTTTCCAAGAAATATTGAAGTATGATTAATGGAAAAGATTTTTATTTTATTATGCTTATCATCTCAATCTAACTTGTGCTTTATACAGTTCTCCTTTCTGCAACCACACTGAAAAGTGATAACTAAGCTTTTCCTCCTCACACGTACCACAAAATTTGAAATATTATAAAGTCCCTACATGCTTGAACCCAACATCAGAGAACCGGGAAATTTTGTTGAAGCGGAATTACAATCTGAGTTTCAATTTGTTACCTCCATTGATGCAGCATTACATAAAAGCAATGTCACGAGAAGCTGGTGCTGCTTCTGAACCACTGGAAGTATTTTGGCTGAAAACAAGATCTTTCCATCAAATACAGAAAAAAGAGAACAGGTTTACCTCTCAGAAATAGGAAAAAATCTATTCCCCTCAAAAATTTTAGTTATATCATAGAACAAATAAAGTCAGCTGCTTACTTTGTCATATGGATATGACTAGAACATGTTTGGCTCAGATTAAAATAACGTAAAAGTTACTTTAAGCTCCTTCTTGCCAACCATAAATTTAAAAGTTTCTTCTTTTACTAACAAAGCATTCTTTCTGGGAAAGTAACTTTAAGCTTAGCCAAACATGCTCAAACTTCTCTGAAAAGAAAAATGTTTTAACAATTAATCTCAATTCAACTAAATCTCTCATTTATAACTACTGATGCTCACATTCCATTATAAACCACGCAATAAATTACAGTAATGATAATAATAATTACTAATAGCAACAAATTATTCTACTTACTATGTCAGGTAGAAAAAATATTTGATCATTATCCATTGAGCACCACAAACGCAAATCTAATCATACATACATAAATCAAATCTTCTTCCTCACAAAGCCAATCCGATCAAAAACAAGCTCAGATATCCATCATATTATAAACAACAACATAATAAACAATTTCACAAACTGCACTCGGTTATGGCGATAATCTAACGAATCAAATGGAAATGAATAAATCAGGAAAAGGACCAACCGGCCTGTTTTTTCTCCGAGGGTGTACCGCTACGCTGGAGGATCTCTAGTTCGACGAGGCCCAAGGACATGAGACCCAAAGTCAATCCCGACATAATTCCGGCGAACAACACTAAAAAACATGAGATCCCTGCATAGACAAACCACCAAACCGTTCCAAATTCGATTTCTGCTCCCAATAATCCACTATTAAGGCCGCCGCCATTCCTGATCGCCACTTGAACCAGCGCCACCACATTTATCAGATGCATATCTTATTTATTTATTTTGTTTACAGTTTCTGAATTCTCAGTTCCGCAATCTGGGAAAAGCCCAAGTTTTTATGAGATCATGGGACTGTGGAGCTGGAGAGAGCAGGATTCTATTGATTTTCTTCTTCCTTTATAAAGGTCAAATAAAATAATAATGCAGTTTTCAAAAAAAACTTTATAATTAATTTATGCCCATGTTAAAATTACTATTCTCATTCTTCGACTCATTTTTAACTACAGACTCTTATAAAATAATATTTTCCATCACGTCAATAAATTTTCCTTCTTTTTCAACCACACATTCTCCATTAGTCTACTATTCTAAAATACATTCTTTTAAAATAATGTGGCTCAAACACAATAGTGAATTATTTTATTTTATTTTATTATTATATTTGGTTGAAAAACTTCTGACAAATCATATTTCACCGTATGAACGAACTTGCTAGAAAGAAAATTTCAATGTTTAAACTTATTAAGTCTAGAAAGACAGATGCATGTCTTTCCATTCATCTCTTCCACTACCGTTTAAATCCAAGAGGTTGCTTGGTTTTCTAAAGCAATACACTCCACACAATCGTGGCGTGTTTGATATGTTGCACTAAAAAATATGGAACATTAAGAACTTCAAGTTATATAGTATCAATTGTCTCGTTTGTCTATCAAAGCTACAGTTACTGGGCCAGAGCATACTACTTGACTACCCAACTGACCGGCCTCAATCGAACCAACTTGTCATAACAGATTTACTGAGTAATAAGCGAGGGCAACATTCACGCCATCCTCGGTCCTAGGGATACATTTACGACCATTACAATTGAGAGAAACTACCTCAAAAGATGGACAAAAAAATTAAAATTCATCAATCCCCAGACTCCATGGATAACAACAATTGAGAGTAACAGAAGGAAGTTTCGACATGTTTACAACCACATTTTATAATAGTCTATTCGACATTCAATCGTTATTTTGGGTTGTTTTATAAATTCAAAAAAGGTTCAAGCATGTAAAAATTCAACTACATGTCCCTTGTTCCTTATTTCTGTTACACCAGAATTCTGGTTTTTGTTTTCTTGTTGTAAATAGATTCCAATCTAGAATGTTCATTGTAAACTATACATTGTATACAACTTCAGCAATAATATTAGTGTGGCAAATTATTCTCCTCAACTTCTTCCTTTCTAACTTGGTATCAGAGCACACGACCATGGCTAACGCCGATAGCACACCGCTGAATACAAATCCCAACTCCACTCCTGTGTCAATCTCAGGTAGCACAGTTGCTTCAATGCAAGGAAGCAACCATATCAGTCAAGCTGGATAAGAACAATTACCTGTTGTAGAAAAATATGATCTTACCCATTATTCGTAGGCACAACCTTGAAGGTTATATTCTGGGGACAAGGGAGTGCACTCCAAAAATTTACAGCAAATCAGGTCGCGGCGAATTAGGAACGAGTGTTGAAATGGTAAAGAATCCTGAGTATAATCAATGGATGTCAATTGACCAATTATTGATGGGATGACTTTACTCATCGATGACACCAAACATAGCCATTAGAGTTATGGGAGCCAGCAACTTTAGTGAACTCTGGACAGCAGTAAAGGAAAGCTATGGAGTCTAAAACAGGTCAAGGATCACATTCTTCACTAGTGAACTCCAAAAGTCCAGAAAGGGAACCATGAGCATTGATCAGTATTTGAACAAAGTAAAATTGCTAGTTGACAACCTACAAATTGCTGGCAAAACAGTTCCTCATTCTGATTTGGTTGCCCAAGTTTTGGCAGGATTGGATGAAGAATATACACCAATTGTTGTCCAAATCAATAGCAGAGATCACATCACTTGGGGAGAGTTGCAATCGACTCTTATGACCTTTGAAAGTAGACTTGAACATCTCAACACAATTAGAAATGAATTGGCTGGAATCAATCTTGATCAAACATCTGTGAACCTATCTCAAAGATCAAATACCAACTATCATCATATCAGATCTTACAGACCAAACTCCGGTGGAAGATTCATAAATTACAATAACTTCGGAGGTGAAGAAGATGCATGGATAGATGAGGAAACTCAGGTGGCAGTGATAGACCTACATGTCAAGTATGTGGTAAGATTGGACACAAGGCAAACATCTGCCACTTTAGGTATAATGAAAAGTACTTAGGCACACCACCAAGCCAGAAGTTCAGCTATAACTCTTCACCAACAGCCCTTGTTACCTCACCAAGTATGATTAGTGATCCGGCCTGGTTCACTGACACAGGAGCCACCAACCACATTAGAGCAGAAAAGGAGAACATCACCTCAGCAAATGAATACACTGGTAAGGAAAAAGTCATGGTTGGAAATGGGAATAAACTGCATATCACACATTTTGGTATGACTCACATTCCAACTTTAAATGATAGAACCCTTGTGCTGAATAAATTACTTCGTATACCAGAAATTAAGAAAAATCTTATTAGTGTTTCACAATTGACATATGATAATCAAGTATATATGGAATTTCACTCTAATTGTTGGTTTGTTAAGGATAAGCTCTCGAGGGAAATAGTGCTACAAGGGAAGCTTAGGGAATGGTTGTATCAATTGGACCTTCCTTACCAAAATTCCAAGTATCACTTACTGAAGTCAGTTGTCTCAAATAAACATTGATGCAATGTCTCTGTTCCCAGTTCTAGTCAAGAGTCTAGTCTCAGTCTTGAGTCAAGTAAAGAGTCACTAAAATTCCTGATGTATGGCACAAGAGACTTGGACACCCATCTAGTCAAGTGGTGTCCTAAGTACTCAAAATCTGTAATCATGAGGTAAAAGAAAATGAAGTTAAGTCCTTTTATGATGCCTGTCAATTTGGAAAATCACATTTGTTGCCTTTCTCTATATCACTTTCACATGCTAAAACCCCTCTGGAACACATACATACTAATGTGTGGGGCCAAGCACCAATTCAGCCCACATCTGGCTTCAAATACTATATATCCTTCCTAGACGATTTCAATAGGTTTTCCTGGATATATCCCTTAAAACAAAATTCTGAAATATTGAGTGTGTTCATTCACTTCAAAAAATTGGTTGAAAATAAGTTTACCGACAAGATTAGAACCATTCAAGCTGACTGGGGAGGGGAATATAGAACCTTCACCAAATTCCTAGCAGAAGAAGGGATTGAGTTTAGACATCCATGGCCCTACACGTCTGCACAAAATGGAAGAATTGAGAGGAAACATAGACATATCACAGAAACATGTTTAACTCTTCTAGCCCAAGCCAAGATGCCCTTAAAATACTTGTAGGAGGCCTTTCAAACTGCCATCTATCTCATAAATAGAATGCCACACCAACTCTCAAAATGCAATCCCCTTATCAAAGACTGAAGATCTTTGGATGTGCCTGCTACCCTTGCCTGAGACCTTACCAAAGGAACAAGTTTATTTTTCGCTCAACTAAGTGTGTATTCATTGGTTATATTGAATCTCACAAAGGGTACAAATGCCTAAGCTCAACAGGGAGAGTCTATATTTCAAGGCATGTTGTGTTTAATGAACAAGAATTTCCCTTTGAGTTCTTATTTTGTTTTGAAAACTCAACTCAATTCTGCAGTACAAGAAATAGTTATGTCATACCTTCATTTTTCCCTCCAACTGAACAACTCCAGTTTCACACTGAGTCCCAATGATACAGCTCATTCTGAAGCATCCAGTGCTCTACAAAATTCACCTCTTAGCTTGAATGACAATCAACATGATGAGCTAAACAAAAATGAGGAAGGTGACAGTAATGGAAGAACTGTTAGAACTGAGAATGATCTTGAAACTAAAGATGAGCTGTCTCAGAATACTGAAAGACTTGAATAAGATCATTCAAATCATCGACAACCAGTTGGCAATGAACTGGAAAACAGAACCAACAAGGAGCCAACAATATGACTAAACACCCTATGATCATAAGAGCAAATGCTGGAATGTAGTAGAATACAATTCAGAAGCATCAGAACCCTAAAATGTCAATGAAGCACTGATAAACAAGGATTGGAAGAATGCTATGGAGGAAGAATTCAATGCACTAATCAAAGCCAAAAACCTGGAAGCTTGTACCACCCTCACTAGCCTACAACATAGTAGGAAACAAGTGGGTTTTTAGAGTGAAACGAAAGACTGATGGATCAATTCAGGGGTTTAAAGCAAGGGTGGTTGCAAAAGGTTTCCATCAGGCTCATGGAATTGATTTTTGTGAAACTTTCAGTCCAGTTGTTAAAGCTTCAACCGTGAGAATTATATTGACTCTAGCAGTTTCAAAAGGTTGGATAGTTGGGCAAGTTGACATCAATAATGCGTTTCTAAACGGGGAACTTGAAGAGGTAGTGTATATGAATTAGCCAGAATAATTCATAGACAAAACTAAACCTGACCATGTTTACAAATTGGAGAAAGCACTTTGTGGGTTAAAGTAGGCACCTAGAGCTTGGCATGAGAAGTTGAAGATGGCATTAATGAACTAGAAATTTAAATAATCGAAGGCTGACACATCTCTGTTTTTACTTTAAGAATGAGAAATAGATTGTTTTTGTACTTATATATGTAGATGACATTGTTGTGATAGGAAATGACTCACAGATGGTGCAAAAATTCATAAAGAAACTAAACAGAAAATTAGCACTAAAGGATATAGGACAACTTCATCACTTTCTGGGAATTGAGGTGCTATGGCATGACTCAGGACTCCATCTTACACAAACTAGATACATAGCTGAATTTCTCAAGAAGTTCGAGCTGCAGAACCTCAAGCCATGTCCCACTCCTATGTTTGTTGGAAAAACCATATCAAAAACTGATGGAGAAACTCTAAAAGATCTCTCAATTTATAGAAGAGCAGTGGGAGAACTACAATATCTCTCACATATACGTCTGGATATCACCTTTGCTGTCAACAAACTTAGTCTATTCCTGCAATCACCAACGTCCACACATTGGCAAGCCTTAAAAAGAGTGATGAG